AGTTAATTCGGTTCTTTTGGGAACAAGGTGCTAATGTGCCATTTTCTCATAAAATGAATCATAATTGCTTCCAAATAAAGTTTCTGCTGAAAATTTTGATGGAAGCAAGTGTAATACTATATGTTCTCCTATAAAGTTAGGAGAAAGTTTCTTGAATCAATTTCTACCCTCTGAACGCCCTTACTACTTTTACATAAACCTACTAATTCGGTTCTTTTGGGAACAAGGTGCTAATGTGCCATTTTCTCATAAAATGAATCATAATTGCTTCCAAATAAAGTTTCTGCTGAAAATTTTGATGGAAGCAAGTGTAATACTATATGTTCTCCTATAAAGTTAGGAGAAAGTTTCTTGAATCAATTTCTACCCTCTGAACGCCCTTACTACTTTTACATAAACCTACTGTTTTATTAAGGCATAATATGCCCTGAGCAATATGTTGGAAATTAGCCAAACATCCAAACAATTAAAGGCAAGCACCGTATGACTATTTTTATTGACAATTTTAGGAATCTGTTTTGTAACTCATTTGTAGTTGAGAGTAAAAGCATATTTCTCCAATATGTTAAATTGCTAAGACTGCAGGGGGAAAAATGTTTAGGCTACAAATTTAAAACAGTTTGCCTAAAATTGGACACATGTAGAAGCAGAACAACAAAACAAGTGTGCCATTTATTTCAGTGCCTAACTGAGCAACTGGTTTTGAAAAAAATATTGGTTTAAAAATCTGTGTTCTAAAACACTCAACCCAATATAATCCAAGTCAAATATTACCTTTAAGAGGTAGGAATCTAGTGTGCTCTATACAACTTGTCTTAAAACCAAAATGGAACCTGGACAATGCCAGTCCTGTTATGCCATCACATCCTCCTCAGATTGACTTCTGTTTTTTTTATTTTAACCAAAGACTGGGTCACAAGTCATCTGGTGATATTGCTTATAAATTTCTTGAAAATAAAGACTTGGAGTATTACTGAATCCAAAATTCTAAACTACTTCTACAGATTGCATTAATGGCACACAAGCTCCTTCTCTATGCAAATGTAAGCCATACTTGCTAGTCCATTTAGATGTAAGAGGATTCATAAAAGAAACACAACCAAATTATACATTTTATTCACATTTATTTTTCGCTTTTAGTGTGCTCACAGAAAATTAGAACACCTTAAGCAGGAGTTTAATAGCAATTTTTGTAAGCAAAGTTACATTCCATCTCTAAGTCAAATTGGTCAAAGCTTCTCCAGTATTTACAAAAACATGATAGACAAGATGCTACACAAAAAACATTGCATCTGAAGAGTTTTCCTTTATTTTCAAAGACAACTGGAAAAGAAAGCATTGTCTGCTGTAATCAAAAACATACCACAGTATAAACAGTAACCATTCCACTTATCACAGCTTGATTTTGAGTTTAAAATTTGTGTTTAAAAGGTCCAAGATGACTGCAGTTTTACAAAAATGGGCAGGGTGGAAAGAGTTGCAAACTTCATGTGCTTCTGGATATCAAGATTTGTTTTTATACAATAGTCACAGTTAAAAACACCCTGCTGGTAATACATAATTACACTTTATTAAGGTCATAAACCAGCAATAAACAATAAAGCCTATACAACTTGTATTTCTACTTAATCACTGACTGGTACAGCTAACATGAGATAAGTGAAAAGTTCCTATGGTTTAAATGAATTCCTAAGACTATGATCTTTTTTCTGGGTATTGATTTTTTTCCTTTCCTTCCTAGTCAAGACTTGTAGTGTTGTAAACCTTATAGAACATCTGCCTCACAAAATACATTGTAATAACTTTCTTTTAAAAAAGACTAACCCCTTACATTGTTTCTTGTGGCACATTCTCTTGGCAATTATGTGCATCACTAATTCCTCATTGTGGCCCCTATCACTTCATTGGATATCCCTTATTGACCCCACCCATCTCCTTCATATATGGGCACGTCCATAGATTGACAAAGAAAGTTTACATTTTGAATAAAAGATGCAAAGTATGCAAAAACATTAATACTGATGGGAAAAAAAGGAACAAGGTAGAGGGAGGTGTTTAGACTCCCCTCTACCTGTTGGAATGGTGGTAACAGAATTATTTGAGATGGGATCTGTGGGGAGAGAAAAAAAAGAGAAAGACATCTTTTAAATCAATCCCTGGTTGTAGACAAGTTCTCCAAAACCAGTACCTGGCACCACTCCAACAAACAAACAGGGGGAGAAAAGTTCTTCGATTATCTCAAAATTGCCATGTTTACTCTGCCGACTCAGCTGGTGGGGCTTCTGGACTAGACTCAGATGGGGCTTCCTGCGTAGGAAGTGCTGGCTCTTCTACTTTGGGTGCCTCTTGTTCAGTTGAGGTGGCCTCAGTTGTAGCACTAGGGGCAGAGGCAGCTGGTGCCTCCTCTGGTTTATCCTCAGGCTTTTGCTCTTCAACGGGCTTGGCCTCTTCCCCCGCAGGCTTCTCTGGTGCCGTCTCCTCGGATTTTGCTTCCTGAGAGTCACCAGTCTCCTCCTTTGTTTCCTCTGTGCCACTGGCTGCAGCAGCGCAGGGCTCCTCCGGGGCAGGTTTGTCCTCCTCGTTGCTTGTGGCCTCTGGGGCAGCGGCTGCTTCCTCTTTCCCCCCCTCTGCGGAGGCAGCTGCACCTTCGCCCTCCGCTCCTTCGCCAGCCTCCTTTTTGTTCTTTTTAAAGGAGAAGCCACTTAGCTTAAAGGACTTTTTGAAGGAAAAGCGCTTCTTTTTTTTTTTCGGGGTCTCGCTGCTGGAAGAAGGGGTGGCTCCTTCCTCTGCCTTGGAGGAGGGCTCTCCCTCAGCAGGAGAGGCGGGCTCAGTACTCTCCGCTTCAGTGCCCTCCTTCTCAGAGGCAGGCTCAGAAGAGGCTTGCTCTTCCTTCGCCGTCTCTTCAGCGGGTGCACTGCCATTTGCTTGGACCTCCTCCTTGCCTGCCTCCGCAGCTGCCGGAGAGGCGTCTCCATTCACCTTCACGTGGCCATTTTCCTAGAAAGGGGGGGAAAAAGAAACAACTCTTGTTATTGGAGAAAAACGATCCGCTCCCAGCCATATCCCCCACGCTCCACAGGGTGGCCTGTTCTCCCTGGTCTGCAGGCAAACCCCGGCTGGCTGGCCCCGAGGACTGACTGGCCAAGAATACTTGCCCTCTTGGCACTTTCACGCCACTACTAAGCCATGACTTGGGAGGCAGCGGATTTGCTCACATCACGGGACTAGCTGCAGAAACTGGAGGGGGCTGGGGGGTGCGCAGTAAGCGATAAAGTTAATATGGGAAGATTCCCCCCATTGCGCCTCTTGGGAGAAGGCAGCACTGAGCACTTGCCAATTCCTCCTCCCCAGCTTAAAGCTCCCCAGGCCCAGCTTTGGGAGCGAAGCCATCAGCGCTACCCGGGAAACAGCCGAGCCAAGCCACGCCCCCGCTTGCTTTCATAGGCCATGCGGGGGACTCCTGTATGGTCGGGAGCCAACGCATCACCGAGCCACGGCGGAGCCCTGAGCTCCCCGCCCCCCCCCGCCATCATTTCAGCGCCGGCG